GAACATGAGGAAGTCCACCATGACTAAGTACAAACTATGAGAGCAAAAGTTATAAAGCAAAATATCACAGAGCAGATGTTGGCAAACCACAGCCCACAGGCCAAATCCAGCACCATCTTTTTTTTTTAAATAAATATGGTTTTGTTGGAACACAGACACATTTGTCTGTTTATGTACTGCCTCTGGCTGCTTTCATGCCACAGTGGCAAAAACCATATGGTCCACAAAGCCTAAAATATTTACTATCAGGCCCTTTACAGAAAAAGTTGCCAAACCATCAGAGGACAGAATAGGCCAGTGGAAGCAAAACTGAGAAGCCACACAAAAGAAACAGGGGCAGACAGAATATTTAAGTCATGTTATAAAAGCAGAAAACTGGAGAAAAAATTCTAAAACTCCTTCTGCTGAGATCCCCACTAGTACCCTATCACCCCCTGAACCCTGAATGTGCTGGACATTCAGAAAAATTAGTTATATACCACACACAAAGGGAGGATCCCCAACAGAAAAAGATTTATATTTAAAAGTAAATAAATAAAGCATGAACTATATGAAACTATAAAGTGAAGATGAACTATATTTATCTTCACTGTGAAATGCAAGGGAAGAATAAACCATAAAGAAAAAAGATATTTGAGCTACATAAAAATGAACTTCTGGGCTTCCCTGGTGGCGCAGTAGTTGAGAGTCCGCCTGCCGAGGCAGGGGACGCGGGTTCGTGCCCCGGTCTGGCAAGATCCCACATGCCGCGGACCAGCTGGGCCCGTGAGCCATGGCCGCTGAGCCTGCACATCCAGAGCCTGTGCTCCGCAACGGGAGAGGCCACAGCAGTGAGAGGCCCACGTACCGCAAAAAAAAAAAAAAAAAAAAAAAAATGAACTTCTATGTCAAATTGAGGGAAACATCTGTGACATATATGGTAGATCAAAAATCAGTGTGAAAAAGAAACTTAAAAATAAGACCCAAGAAAGATTTTTAACTGTTCCATCTCATTAGGAATCAAATAAATTAAAACATCAAGGGAGACCACTTTTCACCTTTGCAACTGGCAGATTTTTTAAAACCACAATATAGTATATTACTGAGGATATGAAAAAACAGGCATTCTCATACACTAGATGGAATTGTACATTTAATCCAACCTTAGGAAACAAACATGGAGATGTGCAAAAACTTATTTACAGGGATGTTCACATTAAGCATTATTTACACAAACTTAGAAGGGCAGCAATTGAACGAGGGCCCAAATATCAGATACAAATTATTTTTTATATTATAATGCCAATTAAAACAGATGTTTAATTTTTTATTATTAAAAATTTTTTTTTATTAAACATGTTTCAGATGGCATGGGACAGTTTGAGATCTGCTGAATTTAAAAGCTCAGGCAACAAGGTTTCATTAATGACCCTAACGTCAACAACTGACAAAGACTATCACTCCAACCAAAAACTCACTTTTGAACACAGAAACAAGGTAGTAAAAAAATAAAATAGAAAATAAAATTTAAAAATAGCGAATTTAGCAGACCTAATTCAATACTCTTGAAAACTAGGAAATTTTCTTCTGGAAATACAAGGTAGGTTCATTATAAGGAAAGCTATTAAATATAACAAATACAACAAAAAGGGTAAATAAAAAGATTTACTTCCATGTTCAACACTTACTAGACTGAGATCCCTGTTACTTTGTTCAGATCACATTTTGAGACATCAATGGAAGGATTAATTCCTCCTAATCCTGAAAGCCATTTAGGGTTTGATATAGCAAATTACCAAAACCACAGCCCCCTACGATGACTGCTAGGAGAGTGATTACATCCAAAGTAACCTCTGTATCAGATTCACTTTTGGACCTACATAGGGTAGAAGACATGCTGGTGAAGAGGATAAACACTAGAGCTGATAAGGTAAGAATAAGAACAAATAACAGACATAAAGACAAAGTCACTTCTAAGCCATCCAAAGAAAAGACCTGTGGCAAGGAAGAAGATCCTCTAAGGGATGATAATAACGTGGCCCATGAGGATTCTATCACTCTACCAAGAACTCAGGCCAATATCTAGGTGACTATTAAGTCATGCACATAATACACAGATCATGAGACACTTTCCAGTGCTAATTCAAGTAGAGCTGTGTTACTGTCATTGTATTACAAGTATTTTGAATAAAGATCACCCTGAATATTTTCTTTAACGTATCACCTCAAGTCTTATTTTAAAGTCTTCGTGTATATACAGTATAGAACAAGGATAGCATGCTATGGCCCATGGGCTGAATCCGGGCTGTCACCTGTTTTTGTAAATGAAGTTTTATTGGATCACAGTCCTGCCCACTTGTTTCCGTACTGTCTATGGCTGCTTTCATGCTACAGGGAGGGGAAAGATGTATGAAAAATTAGGATAAACTCATAATTAGGAAACATGAGTAGTACTTCATTGATACTTGAGAATGGCTAAAATTTAAGTCATCCCTGAAAAGAAAAAAGAAAAAAGAAGGGAACCATATAGGATAAACGAATAGCTACAGTGAGGCATATAAAACATAGTTCTTTCTGTATACATAGCAAATTTGTGAATGTGCTTTCTTGGTGAGCTTAATTTGAGTGGGAAGAAATTCAGAGGCAAACTGACTACTATAAGATTCCATACTTTCTAGGATCAGCTGTAAATCTAAGCCCCACAGAAAAGAAAATGGGTTGGGAGGGGAACATCTGTAGTCATAGTACATTTAACCTATGCCAGTGGTTTGCAAACTTTCTGTGAAGGGCCAGATGGTAATGCTTCAGTCTCTGTGGATCATATGGTCTCCGTTGCAACTACTCAACTCTACTGTAGTGTGTAAAGCAGCCATGGACAATAGTGAATGAGCATGACTGTATTCCAACAAAACTTTATTTACAAAAACGGGCAGCTGGCATGTGGGCCATAGCTTACCAAGCCCTATAGTTTATGTTAACTATCTGGACACTGTCACCTTACCAGCAATAAAATTTATGAAAGTATTAATTGTTAGGTATTCTTGTTGTTTTCCACTTGATATGAACAGAAAATAATTTTATCAGCATTGTCTGCTAAGGGAAGGCAATGTTTATGTGGAATTCGCGCTTGGACATGCTGATCTACACAGCAGGCTGCTCCAACCCCTGATACACCTACACCTGAGTTAACATTCTGCAAGCGATGGGATTTTCAGTTGTAACTCTGACTTTTGTGATTCCTTTTTGTTTGTGTAAAAGGAAGTATAACCTCATAGAAACTATACAACATAAACATCATGCTGGAGGGTGGGGGTAATAATAAAAGGTGAGAAGACAATGAGAAATAGTGAATGGTGGTGTGGGAAAGAAATAAATGCTAATCCATCCAAAGTGGTCATCTCTAAAAGTTAGAGGGGCCTACACAACCCTCGCACCATCTCTCTTGTGCATCTGTATCTCCCTTCAAGAATGAACCACTCACATGTGCCCCTATATCCCAGAAGACGACAGTGATGAAGAGCCCACAAGGAGTCAGGAAGTCCCAACAACTAAGAACGTGCTCAAAACATTCTAGTGCTTCAAGTAAGGTAGCTGAGATATTTGGAGTGTGACTCACACAGCTCCACCACTGGCTCCCTGTGTTACATGAGTGACAACACTTCTCTGATCCTCAGTTTTATTATCTGTAAAGGAGGAACAAATCCTACTTCCCAGAGGTAATGTTAATTTGAAATGAGATAGCAAATAGGTGTAAAGCACTCACCTAGAACATAAAAGCCACTTATAACTAATAAGCACTATTATTAATATTATATGACTTTAGGAAGGAAATTTTCAAATGTTGTATGTGGGTGCTAGATGACTAGCCTAAAGAGAAAAGAAAAAGAAAAAACAACAGACCTGCTGTCACAAAAGGAAAGGAGGATGGATAACAAGGCTAGGGAAGTCCTAGGGCAAGAAATGGCATTCAGACAGCAAAAGCCAAATTTATACATCCCACTTTGGCCCAGATAGAGAAAGTGACAGAAGACTTTTTTAACTGCATGCTAACATTCATATCCTTATACATGAACAATGTCATTTTAAAATAAGTTCTGGTGAAGGATACAGAATGCAGGGACTCTCTTTGTATCAACGACTATTCCAGACTTCTCTGTAGGGAAAAGACCATGTTTCTATCATTCAGGTTCCCAGTGCAGGCTAATCTACCTAATTCTGCCAGCAGGAATTATCCAAACACACCAGAAACTATACCAAGAACATTATGTTATGAAGGCACCATCTCAAGACCATCCATCCTTATGAGAAAAGGTGACTTTTATTGCTTCCATAAAAAATGGCAGATACCAAGGAATGATATGGCCCTCAGGTATTAACTCTGGATGGAGGAGCTACTAGCTTAAGATAGGGGTGGCTTCTGCAGAGATCTCCCAAGAATGGCCATTTTATAGATGCTGTCCAGTTTAATTATGAACCATTTCATTATTCCTTAAAGCCTATTAGGGGGCTGATCCCTGAGGAGCCAAAAATGAATGCTGGTCCAATTGGTTTAAATGGAGTGCACAAGAAGACGCTGCTCCTCTGAAATTACTAATCCAAAGTGCCATATACTTGGTGGCTGCTGAAACAACAAGCTTCTGCTAATGAGCTGGCTTTTGACAAGATGTATGTAGCTCCATAGTCTGATAAAGAAAAACCCTCAACAAGTCTGGTTTGAAAGATTAGACTCTCCCCTAAGGGGAGTGTAATCAGTGTCATGTTGACATTATTTATGACATGCAGCTTATGCCACCGAGTTTACTTGGGAACCATTTCAGTTCTCGTGACCCTCTGCAGGGGTGTTCTCAGACTGGGTAAGCATATAATCCACCCCAATTGTTTTGAGAAGGATATATCACAGAATAAACTGCAGGCTTCAAAAGTACTGGCCCCTGGAAATGACATTTCTAAGAGCCTCCCTGACAGGAGCCAAGGCAATGTCAGTCTTTCCTCCCCCCCACTTACCTTAATCACTGTGTTACCTTAATCACTGAGAAGACCCCCTCTTCTGCTGCACATGCACTCACATGGAAAATCTGGTAGACTCTCTAAAACACTTTTCAAAGATATCCTTCAAAATTCAGCCTAGTGAGGGGTTACAAAAAGGAAAAAGATTGCTTTCATTATCTATGACCCTCCCATACTCAGCTTGCCAGCCTCCACTGCACTGATAGACAGTGGAATGTATGAAAAGGGAAAATGAGAAGGGGGGAGAAAAACACACAGTATTGCTTAGTCCAACCCATCCATTTTTTAATGCCATTTTCACACCAAAATGGAGAAACTTCTGATATAACATTTATGATACATATTTACTTATTTATTGGTTATTTATTCTTTTGTCTAGTCTCATAGGAATGAAAGTCCATGATGGCAGGACTTTGTTAATATCTAGAACATTCTCTGGCACTTAGTAAGCACCTAATAACTGTCTGTTGAAGGAAGGGGGGAAGTGCCACGTCACAACCATCTCTTCTCTGCCACCAACTGGGGAACCCCACCGAAACCACCACCAACTTACCAAGACTTCCTAACGGCTTCACAAGGACATCCAGGGCAATGATGCTTCATTCTGGCTTGCTGGTGAACCCACTGGGCAGGAAGCCTCAGGATAAGTGACAGGTAAGTCTTAGTGTTGCTCTTGACTCAATGACAAGGTTTCAGGCTGCCCAGGAATCTGCATTTTTAACAAGCATCCCAGGTGATTTTATGCATAATAAAAAAAATCACACCATGGACATTTCCTTCATCAGAGGAGCACAATCTCAGAGGCTATTATAAAAATCTTTCACAGTATGGAATAAAAATGTTTCTGTCTCACATGGCCTCCTTGGACTTAGATGGAATCTAGAGGAAGCACTGGGTGGAAGACACAGTATTGGGCTTGGATTCAAATCCATTTTCTATACCAACTAGCTATGATCTTGGGCAAGATATCATCTGCAGAAATGGGAGAATGGGAAAAGAAGAGGTTAGGCTCAGTACTCTCTAGTGTACTCTGAATATTTTAAGACCTTTTTTCATATCATAATGGGAAAGGTCTAGTAAGACTACCTTTCCTGGCCCTTCCCACTAACTGGGCAAGCCCACCAGAGCCACTGACCACTTACTAAGACTTCACAATGGTTTGATAACCATGTGCAGGATGCTGATTTGAGTCTCTTCCAATTCTCTAGTAACCTCACTGGGCCAGGCAGGGCTCAATATACCTCTTCACCAGTGGCATGGTTTCTGATCGAGTTTGGTGTCACCTGTAGGATAGGGAGAAGGAAGAAGAAACAAATGTAAGAACAGTTAAGGTATGAGATCTAGCTTTAATTTTACTTTACCATAGTCAAGTCATCCAGTCCACACCATGGACCTCAGATTACACTCTTGCTAAGCACTATTATTAGCATCACAATTATCTGGCAAAGACTGTTGCAATGCAAACAATTATTATTTAATAAGGATTCTTGCCTCCATTTTAAATGAGATAACTTGGGTACAGAGGCACCAAGTAACTATACCAAAGTGTTAGAACTCAGATCTGAACTAATGCTGATCTTCCTAGCTACCTACCCTCTTTAGACCTCAATCAATATCCTATCTTTGAATGGAGGTAAACTTGGTATCTTAGGGGCCCTTCTATGCCTGGCAATTATGACCCTTTATTCCATACTCCTGACTAAAAGGCCCCCCTAAAAGTGAACTAAATCTCCATCTACTCATCATATGGCATTTAGTTCACACTGATGAGGAAAGGTAACAAAACCCTGGGCTCTGGACCAAGGCCTGTCATTTACAATCTCAACTCCCACCAGGACTCACTTTTCCCATACCTGAAAAGTAATAGAACATATCTTGTCCCTTATCAGCTGTGTGGGTTACCAAAAGGATCACAAGGAGCTAGGTAGGCCCGTGGCTAGTCCCCTACCTCCAAAACTCAACCATGAGGAATGGGGCTCTGAGACCTAAGACCCACACAGGACAAGCCAAAGACCCCCAAAGGGTCCTTTCTTCCCCAAGGAAGCAGCCTTCTGCCTCTAAGTTTCCCAGTCCCTAGCTGTTTAGCATGAAAAGCAACCCAGAAATCTAGCAATTCAGTGACGGCCCAAAGCCCAGGCTATTAATTATTATCATTAGATGCTGGCAGCACCAACTAGTGCAACTAGGTTTCCTGTTATTGCAGTGAGATGCAGGCAACCCTCAAACCCCAGGAAAACCCAAGGAGCAGTTTATCAGGGCTCATTTTTAACTGTTTCACCCACAGTGAAATATAATAGTGTCTTATAATCTACTAGTGATCATGAGACCCAGGAGAAAGCTCTCCCACCATAGGTGGGGAAGATTCATAATGCCAAGTGGTATGTGTTGGGGGCGGTGGGGGGAGGTGAGGAGGCAGCCTTGATGGGTTTGAGCCTTCTCTTTATTGGATAAAGTAAAGCAGCCGTTACTAGAGCAAGATCTGCACACCCATAAGCAGCTGCTGCCACCAGCAATTATTTAGCTTATGAAAGCCCAGAGGGACATGGGTAGGAAAGGAATGTGTACAGGGTCTAATTGGGAAATAAACAGTAAGTGTAAAGCCTGATGCGTGAAATGCCTGCACTAAGGAGCCAAGAACAGTTAGTAGTTAAGCTAGTGCCTTTCTCTAAAGACAGAGATCTTATTTCCACCATGCCCTACTCCCACCCGGCCCAGCTCTTTTCCAAACTAAACTGCTCCAGTTTCCAGCCCCCTCAACCAACCCATTTATTCCACTTCTGTTCAGGTCAGCATATTTCAAAATGGAAACCGTTTCAATGTTTGTCTTAACTTTCAAAGTCATAAACACACGCTGTGAAAAAAAAATTCCAGAAATACATTAAGAATACACAGAAAGTAAAAATCACAAAATCCCAGAAAGTTTAACACTTGGGGTATATGCTTCCAATTACTTTCATGTACGTGTACAAACATGAATTTTTATTTAACAAAAATTAGATGAAACCATAGCCTTTCAATTAATATACTGGGTACATCGTTCCAAGCCATATACTCATCTACAAGACTTTTCATTTTTAATGCCTAAGTTGTATTATTACATGAATACACCAAAATTTATTTATTCAAATTCCTATTTAGGGATAAGTAAGTTTTTCTATTTTTTTTACTGCTATGAACATTGTGAACATTCCCATACCTAAATCTTTTAAAATACCCTTAGAACATTTAAAAAAATATTTAGAATTTATTTAGAATATTTTAGGGGTATATCCCTAGAAATGAAATTGCTGGGTCAAAGGGCAAGCAATATTTATTCTGCCCACTAATATATATTGCCAAATTGCTCCTACAAAGGATTACACTAAAATTGGACATATCCCACCAACACTAGTATAACATTTTTTAATCTTTGCCCATGTGATAGGTGTTAAATGTAATATTGCATTTTTTATGAATATAGACATTTTTTACTAGGAGATGAGTAAGATATGGCCTCTGCCCTTGAACTTAAATGAAGGGAGATAGACACAAACAGGTAACATGTACCATTATCATATTCATGATAAAGATAAATAAGATTTCAGTTCATGGTGCTTCCTTTGACTCTGTGGCTATTGCTAACAGAAAAGGTCCAAGAGAATATTAGACAGTAGTCCAAATTAAAAATCCATTTACTAAAATTCCAAGGAGTTGTGTTAATGCTGACTATCACATCAGTGGCACTTCGATATCACTTTGTTGTTTCTCCTTCATCAATTCTTAAAGGAAAGAAAAAGCAGAAGCAGCTCAGAAAACCAGCTGCCCCCCACCCCCTAAAGCCAGTGAAGTGAATGAGGTGCAGGGCAGTATATTATTGGAAGGATTTACTGACACTGGATCTGGACTTCCATTTTTCCTTCGCCTATTATTTCCAGTAAACAACAGTGAGCTGCAGCCATTTTCTTTCAGAAACAAAATGTCTTCTCTCCCTAGGACTCTTATTCCCAGGAAGATCTGCTTGTACGTAGTTAGGCTGCAGTTTCCATACCATCTTGGAAATACAGATAAGAATCAAAAGAGATTATTTTTCTGTACCATAATGGGTCAGATACAGATGAAATCAAAATGAATGACAACACAAGTACTTTAAAAACCCACCCAACAAAGATGGACGAATATGCAATAAAGCAGATACAGCAAAATGTTAATTGTACCATCTAGGGGGTGAGTATATGGGTTTTCACTGTACAATTCTTTCAATTTTTCTGTATGAAAATTTTCATAATGAAGTCCTGGGAAAAATCCAGCAAGCAGCTTGAAAATAACACTGTAAGGCCTTTCCCTCCATTTTACTCCTAGAATGAGACTATCTGATATTCTCTCCATTTTGCTTTTTTAGATCTACATTTCTTGCATCAGACTTGGAGCTCTCCAACTTTTTCACGAAGTGAAATGAATGACAATATACTCACAGACAGGTTACCAAGACAACGTGCGGTGGGTTAGAGAGGGTTGAGGGAAGGGCCCTAAGCTCTTGGAAGGGCAGGCTCACTACCTGTATAAGTCTGAATAAGTGAATGTTTCAGAAATCCCATTTCTCAGTTTAAAAATTAGCATTCAGACCCTCTAAACATTTGCCTCAGCCTACTTTTCTGCTTTATCTCATATTAATTCCTTATTTCCCATATCTTCATTGCAAAGAGCTGTGTAGGAAGGAGGGGGGCAAGGCATAAGGTACCAAAGCATGAAATGTCCATATGCTTCAAGTTAGGATATAACAAAAGGAATTTTAATTTCTAGGGTTGAAGCTCGAAACTTGATGCTGAAAGACACCGTATAACTGACTGACTGCAGGACCCTGGGGGAGGCCTTATAATCAGTCTCCTAGTTTGAAGTGTGTCCTGGCTGGCCCATCTGTAAAACAGGAAAAAGACTCGTCATAAGTAATAATGAATGAAGTAAATAAATGAGTTTCTGAGATGCTAAAAGTTATCTCCGGTGAATGGAGAGGGGAATGAAACCATGACTGTTGAGTGATACTCCAAAAAGGGTAGGCAATCTTTTTCTAGGGCCAGACTTTGTGGGTCACCATGTCTCTGATGTGGCTACTCAACTCTGCTGTTGTAGGTCAAAGAGGCCACAGACAACACATCAACAAATGAGCATGGCTGTTTTCCAACAGAACTTTATTTGCAAAACCAGGCAGCCCATGGGCTGTATTTGCCCACCCCTGATCTAGAATGTGGAGCCCACATGGGAATACCATTTGGAGGATGACCTGAGGAGGAGTGAAAAGGGGATGAGTCTACAAATAGAAACCATTTAGCAAACACTAGACAGTGAGGATGAAGCTCCTGATCTGGCAGCTTTCACCCAGGTTCCACCAAGGAAGAGACTGTCAGCAGTAGCAATAGTAGCAACATCTGTAAATACCAAGGACTGAAATGCAAACACAAAAATAGCATTATCTCATGAGAAACTCTTGAGAAGATATATACATAACTAGAAAGAAACAGCAAGTTTCTGACCACACGCATTTTGAAGAAAACAGTTGACAGTCCAGAGCCTGTGGAGATCACGTTAGCAGGCACACAATAAATGTTTGTTGATGAGTCATTCATTTATTCATCCAATAAACATTTACTGAGGCCTACTAATGTGCCAGGCTGGGCTCTGGAGATGAAGACACTGTCCCTGCCCTCAAGGAGCTCACAGTCTAACTGATAACATAGGAAGGGAGACAGGCATATACACAGACAATTACAATACAACCTGATAAGTGCTGTAACACTTATCAGGTTGTATTATAATGGCCGATGTAAAATTTCTTTCCAGGGGGTGCTGCTCCAGGCTGCTGCTGGCTGTAACATCAAGAGAGGGGAGGAACAAATTGTAGAAACCAAAGGTTAAATGCTTTCAGGCTATTTCTAATATCCAGGCTCTCCCTAACTCCTGATCATAAATGGATTTGGGCACTAGACACTGGCATGACGTAAAATGGGACTCCCATCCTTAAGATAGGCACAGACCTCCAGTAAAGGACATTCCCAATCACTTCCTCTACAACACAAGCTCTGTTGTTGTTGCTTTGTTTCATTTTGTTTTGTTTCATTTTGCTTATTATACATCTGTCAACCTCCCGACCACACGCATAAGCCTAGTTTAACATCTGCAACTAGCAAAATGCTGAAACATGGGAGCTTACAACTAACTGAATTAACCCAGCATAACTGGATAACAAAAAGCAAGTAACAGCTCACTTGACACCTCTAAATCCAATAATCCCCCTTTCACTGACAAAATA